TAACAGTAGGGAGGAGTCTACACAGCTGATGATGAATTCATGCAGAGGACATAAAAAGTAAACAAATTCTTGAGATTAAAGTAATGTCACTGAGAATGACCTCAGCCTATAGTAAATAGAAGCTAGAGTGCTGTTCATTCTTGAAAAACTTGGAAACTACAGTTCTCATGTCAAGCCATTCAGGCTCCAGTTTTGCTCTCTGAACCCTTGCTGTATATAGTGACAGGGTAAGGTCTCAAACACGTAAATATTAGAATACTGTCAAATTCCCAGCCTTAAAACAATGTTCTTGCACGCTCAGCTACGCTTGCTCAAATTTGAGAGCAGAGCATCCAAAGCTGCTTTATGCCTAGGGCAAATATAGGCCAATAAATATTATGAGGACACATATGCAGCAAAACCCCCAGTCTGGTGGCTTTAATTCCACAGCGTGGGAGACTGCAGCCAGACTGTCTGGTGTGGCAGGGATTAGGTGCTGATAACATCGAAGTCTGAGAGCAAAACCAGATTGGGGCTGCAGAGCACAGAGTGCCAGAGGGAAGGGGTGCTCTGAGTCAAGGAAACATCTGCTGTACCTGTGGCAGTCCGAGCTAGAGCCGCTGGCCTCATTTCTGACTGGAAGGATCTGCAAAAGCTGAATGCTTTGAGTTAATGACACCGTGGTCAGGACTCAGAATGAGTATTTCAGATATTCAGTAGCATTACTGAAAGCAGAATCTGGCCTGGTATTTCTAACAGAAGTCATCCAGGAGATGTGAAGGAGCTGTCCCAGTGGCTGCAGGCTCACGTTCTCTGGACAGTTCAGTTAACAGCATCACAGTGACACAGTTCAACTGTGCTGCTCTTTGTGCCACTACTGTGGTTCTGAGCCAACCTCCTTCTAAAGAGACAAGAGGGCTCCCACATCCTGGGGGCACTGCTGAAGAACGGCTTCATAACACAATTCAGCTTCCTAAAGCAGCTGAAATTAGGGGAGCAAAATCAATCAACTCTGTTCATTCATAGGTCAGCTGCTGGGAGACAATGGGGAAGGGAAGAGGACCTTCCACTTTTGGAAGATGCTGATTCATCCTGTGTTAATGGGAAGCTGCACCCTCAGACCTGCTGCTCAGACCTGGTGCTGCCTGCACTTTATACAAGTCTTTAGGATTTCCTCAAAATCCATGACTACCGAAGTGCAGAACATATGTTGCCATAGTTGTCTCGTATTACATGTACATACACGTTCCTAATTCATACATCTACATCTGAACCCTCTTATCCCATGCAGAATTAGGGAAGGGCTCCAAAATTTGCTCGTAGAACGCAGCAGGCTGTGCCTCACAGCAGCTGCAGTCAAAGATGGTGATTAGTGGGTCACATGTGGTATGTGCTGCTGTCACAGCAAATGCAGGCCAGGCCTGCCATGCCAGCTGGGCTCAGTAGCTCAGCTCTGTACAAGGTTCACTGAGCTATACTGAAGTTTCATGCACATTCATCCTTTTAGCCTCAGCTGAATACTCCTGCTCTATCTGGCAGAGCTCCTGAGGCAGAAGATGCTCTGGGAAATGTTATTCCTCAGGGCAGACAGTATTTAGTTGTTAATTTTTTATGTAACCAGAAAGCCTATGTCTTCAGTTTCTGTTTTACAACAATATCCTTGTCTGAGATCTAAATTTATCTATTTAAACCAGACTCAGTCACTGTTATGCAGTAGGTTTAATTCCCTACTCTTATGTGAAATTATTTCTGCTAGGAATGCTGCACTGAGCCACTGAGGTTAGACAATGTTGCTTGTGCTAGGGAAATGAATCCCAGATCACGTTAAGTTTCCTACATTGTTATTTTGTGACCTGTGTCTTGTAAGCAAACTGCAAGCAATGCTGCAACTTCAGAAGTATTTTATCTGCTTGGCTTTAACTGAACAAACACAAGAGTATTTATAGGTGCTGACAGTAATGATGAGCTCAGTTTGAATCACTCCTTCCTAGGTGCTGGCAGTGACTTTAATTACATCAGTGATAAATTTACTTTAATTTACATCAGTGATAAACACAGTGCTCAGTAGAGACACAGCCTCACTTTAGGATCTGGGGACCTGATCCATGTGAATACATCTGGATCTCATCCAGAGCTGCAGTAAAGCTCACAGAGGTCTGCAGGGGCCAATCTGGTGGCAGGCTGGGGGCTTGGAACAGAGGTGGGCAGAGATGGACAGGTACAACACTCTGCCATTCACTTTGCTGTATGCTGGGGCAAATGCACGTGTCTGGATGCTGAGCCAGACTGAAGCTCCCACTCTGCAGCATTCCCCAGGACTCAGATTTGGTGGGCAGGAACCCAAAGACCTTGTGAGGATCCAGCCAGCCTCCCCATCCCAGTTCTGTTCTAAAAAGTCAAATCCTCCTTATCACTCTCCCTTCAGTCCCTTGTTCTGAACCATTCCCAGGAGATCCTTGCTAAACACCCAGCTCATGGCTGGCAGTCTCAGTGTGCAGCAAACATACCCCTCAAGCAAGAAGTGTTTCTGAAGAGGCCTGACAGAACCAAGAAACCCTCCCAATCACCTTCCATCTCTAGCTGGCAGTTCAATTATTTCTTCTCATTTTTTTTTATTTTAGTCCATTAAAGTTCTCATTCACCAATTGCTCTCTTAAATGTTTTCAATTAACAAAACTTAATTTTGGCTAATACTGGATTTTCTCAATCCAAGTAAACCAGCTTAAAATAAAAATAAGCCGAGGCTCTGGCAACCACATTCAGGTCATCCTTTCACCAGATAAATTGTGTAATTTTGGTAAGGCTAGTCTCAAAGACTGGATCACAGTGCATAATTTATTAAAAAATATTGGGAGTATTCCAGCATCTAGTATTAAGTGGGTAGTTGTAATTCCTGCAGGATAAAGAATGATAAAGAAACAAAATGCTTTAATCCTTTACAAATTTGTCCAACATTTAATCTAGCTACTAACCATATGATATTTCCTTTCTCAAGCAGTCTTAATTGTTCTTAATTCTACTAATTAGGACTATGAGGGAGAAAGTGGAAGTCATCAGCAATTAAATTCATGTTTCTGTGCAAAGCCACAGCTGGTACGTGAGGTGCATATTCAGAGCTGTGCTGGAATCTCTGTGTGGATCTCTGCTTTCAGAATATTTCACATTCACACAGCAGGTCAGAGCACAACCACCACCCTGAGCACTCCTGTAGCACCTTTCAGCCCAGCAAAACAAAGACAAGTTAATATTAATGAAGCCTTTAACAATCTGGAAGCAGAATTCCCCACTGAGGCATAATAAAGCAGTAACCACCTTCACTCTCCAGTGCTCCCCCTCCTATGAACATCCTCTCCATCCTCCCAGGCCCAGCTCCATCCAGCTGCTCCTCAGCTGGTTCCTGTGCCAGGCAAGCCCCAGGGCTCAGGCAGAAGGTTGTGCCTGCCCCTGACAGGGAAAGGATGCACAGCTGCCTCTTCTCTGTGTCTTGCTTTGGCTACGCATTTGACATTTGAACCAGACAATCAGCAGCTTCATGGACAGCCTGCAGAGACAATCCAATGCCTTCATGAGACTCATCTGCCCTTGAGCAGCAGGCCAACAAGCTCCTCCCATGTTCAGTCTTCTGTTTCAATCATTAGGCAGTACTACTATCACTTAATTAAAAATTTTCTCCCACAGTTCTCCCTAAAACTGATAATCAATTATCTCTTTGTAGCTATTGCTCTCAGTGATTGATGCTACTGATGCAGAATCTACCTCATACTTTTAAGTGTGACCATAATATCATGTTATGATCACTTAAAATAGAAAAAAAAATCATGTTTTCTAAGCCAGTGCTTAGACTGTCACTGTCTTCTGCCCCAAGGTTCAGAAGCTTAGGGTTGGAAATAAATTAGTCCTGAAAATGATCCTATTAGAATCATCACACAAATCTTGGTTCCCAAATGTATGACTTTTTAACTGTTTTTTCCCAATTATACTGAAAATGATCCTATTAGAATCATCACACAAATCTTGGTTCCCAAATGCTGCATGGAAATGTATGACTTTTTAACTGTTCTTTCCCAATTATAGTATGATTCCTCTTTGAAGCCTGCAGAGGGTGTACTCTCCATTTCAAATAAGGATTGAATGTCTTTCTGTCTTTCCAGCTCCAACTGAAATTACAAATTAGCTCCATATGTAATGTGTGAAATGTTACAGAGTGAGATACACAGAAAGTCAGAAAAAGTGACAAAAAGAGTCTCTTTTGGAATTAAAAATCTATTGGTCTCCCTGCAATCTCAGTGTTGGGTCATTGCCTTCCTCTGTAGCTCAGCTGTGAGCAAAGATGAAGCTGTTGACCTCATTCAGGTTCTTATTCTGAAGCCTCAGAATTGTATCTAAATAAAATTTAGCAGTGTACAGCTCTAATCTCAACTCTTTTAATCAGGAATGAGATCCTCTTTTTGAAAAGCAAACTGTTCTTGACCAAACCACTGCAAAGTCTACACCACTTGCAATTTTAGTGATAAAAATATATCGGGGTACTAGAGTTTATGAATTAGCACAGGAGTATTTAGAAGCCCCACAGTAGATTACAGCACCCAGGGGTCTCAGGAATACATCCCTGACTGTACAGAACAGCTTATTATCTAAGTAGGAAAGACTAAATATGGAATAAAAGAATATTCTTCCCACCATTCAGCAGATGGGGAAGGGAATCATAGCAATTCTGTCACCCCAGTTACAACATGGAGACTGTGGCAGAGCCAGAATCTGCAGCCAGAGCTCCTGGGTCTCACCCCAGGTGTTTGGAAGCAAGTCCCAAAACTTCAGTTCTGAGGAGCTGTCTCTGCTGAGCTGTGCTCAGGCAGGCACAGCTGTATGGCACAGTGGGAGAGAGTGGCATCCTCTGCACCTGCCCAGCCCTTGCTCTCCAGGAGGGCAAAGAACTGATTTATCATGGCAGATCCAACACACAGTAAAAAGAAGTTGGTTTCAGTTCCATAGAAATTATTCTTCTATTTGTTCATTTTTAGGAACATGTTTCCAGCCAATCTTGTTGAGGCCACATTCAAGCAGGTAAGTGGCTACATTCCTTTTACTGATGAAAGACATGAGCCAGTGTTATATGAAACATATACCTTTGTAAAACACAACCCAGATATAGACATGCCATTGGACTGCAGACACTGTTAGTACCTTCAGCGTTTAAGAATTAATGAGTCCCATCCCATTAGCCTCAGCAGCCATGGTATCTGAAGGCAAAACAGGGATAAAGTGCTCTCTGGTGTGACTAGAGTTGATATGCACTCCCACGTCAGCTCCATGTCCACCTGAGGAGAGCTGGAATTTATTTAAGAGCACCCTGCAACACCACAGAAAGGAAGAATAGAATACCATGTTCAATTAAAGCAACAAAATAATGTATTGGGGAAGAATCTAATTACTCAGGTTGGAATTTGGCAAGAAAAGTTTGTCTAAAAGTTCTGAAGGAGCAAGAGGCATGGATGTATTTATTTCACCTGGGGGAACATTTCATGGGAGCCTCATAATAAGAAGGGCTCGCAGAACCTCTAGGAAGTTATTCCTAATTATGTCTTACAGGAAAGTTACTCTGTCAGGAAGCAAAGTGCTTGCTGCACCAGGGTCTGATTATAGGAAACTCTGGTTTTGTTACGCTTTTCCAAAAATTCAACTGTTTTTACAAACTTTATCAGATAAAGACAGGAGTGTTCATTCTCCTTTTCATGCCAGTCCCTTCAACATGCAGCATTGTCGAAACAGAGCACTTAGGAGGTCTCATTAAACTATTAACTCCTGTTGGGGTATGGTAATAAAAAGCACTTTGCTTTCTTTCAGTATCGCACCAGGAGTATTCCCATCATCAAATCGAACAAGGCGCCGTCGGAGAGCGCCACTCGCCGCATCATCATCTACGGGGTGCAGGACGAGAACGGCTCCAACGTCCAGAACTTTGCCCTGGATATCACCCCCCCTCCTGAAGTGATCTACAAATCAGAGCCAGGAGCTAGTGACGGCATGAATGTACTTGGGATTGTGATATTCTCCGCCACAATGGGTAGGTTTCAGACATGTTTGGTTTGGAATAATCCAAGTGTCCATTCAAGAGGAAAGGATTGGGGTTGGGTTGCTTGGTTTCTTGACTCAGCTTTTTGAACTATTTCTCTCTAAACTTTTTGGGGAAAAAGATTGTTACAGAGTTGTAAGATTGTTACAGAGCTGTACCCCCAACCTTTCAAAGGCAAATTTTCAAAATCCTTGATGACTTTTGTTCCACAGAGTTGGGTTTTCTGTGCATTCATTTACAATCTTTTATTTTTTTCTCAACTATTTTGAGCTTTTATTTATGACCCATCTTTTGCTGACTGTAAGACAACTTTGTACTGTGTGCTCAGAGGAGGTAGGAACTACCACCAGATCAGACCCATGGCCCCTCTACCAGTATGCCAGCCCATATTGTTTTAAGAGTTTTTAATCTGTGGATATTTCTTTTTTGATTGAAACCTCTTGATTTTATTTTTGGTATCCTGCAATGAAGATAGTTCTATACCACCTACTAGCTTGTAAGGGTAAGAGCTTCTGTCTGGATTATTTATTTAGTTTAACTTGCTGGAGGAACTCTAGCATTGGTGCCATGTGTGTTATATTATGTTTGTGGATTTGAAAAAAGAAGTTTAAAGAAACATTTCCAAGTTAACCATAAAGTTCTGATGACTTTTATAAGAAAATGCTGATCAAATTTTCCTTATGTAAATTTATTCTTGGAAGTTAATCTGGTCAGCAAAGGTAGTTCCATAAAACATCTTTGACTGTATTTATTATATTATGGTTCATACTAGCACAAGGGGTCAAGATTCAAACCTGGAATTAGTGGATTTGTCTCTGTTTTTTTAGCTTCTCCAGTGGGTGGTATTCCCTGTACAACCCTGCTGGAAACTGGCTGTCTCCCAGTTTGTAGTATTTTATAGCCCAAAGTACAACATCACCACAAACACTATTCCAGTCAAAACCTACTGGATATGAATGAATTAATTACATCTACTTATTAGGACCAAGGGCAATTTTCTGCTTCTGAGAACAGAAGATCAATCATTGTCTGTCCTGAACTGATGTATGACTTTCACCGAGCCCCTCAGTCCTGCTGGCCCGGGGTTCAGCAGGTGGAAGCTGAGACCTGGCTTCCTCCTGGCTGATGGACACAAAACAGCACCAGGACTGTCACCCACAGCATGGCTGCTGGGTCACCTCCAGCTGTACCAGCCACCAGCAAATCTGAGACACCAAACCCTCAGTAGTTATCAACACCAAGGACTACTTCAGGCTTTTGTTTTGAACAAAGGATGTGGCCAAGGCTGTCTTCAGCCTATCGCATCATCCCCCCACCCTCCAAAATGGAAGCATTGAAACAGCTTAATGAAAGAGTGCTGTCTTCTGACCTAAAAGTTATGGCTTAGATGATCTAACAGGCTTACAGTCTCCCATCTTGAGAGCACTGCTATTGTGAAATCCCTGGATAAGGCAGCTGAAAGCCTCCCTGCCCCAGCAGGGAATGGCCCTGGAAGCAGTGCTGCCTGAGACGTGGCTCCGAGCTCTGGGCTCCAAGGGACAGAGCTGGGCTCCTGCTCAAAGCAAGGACACTGCACATCCAGAGCAAGCAGCAGCACTCACCCCACTGCCAGCCCCTGCCTCCCCAGGCAGCTCCCCTCAAAGGCAAACTCCCTTGGCGCAGCCAGTTTTTGAAGTGTTTCCTTGAGCAATTGACTCGACTGCTTATAATCCTTTCAAGGAGGATAATTAACTATAGGAAAATGTTGTCTATTTATATGCATTAATGGAAATAACACTGTCTGCAGAATATATGGTTAGATGACGCATCCCAGAGCTGTATTCAGTTGCTTTCTGAGCAATGGGGGCACATACATGGGTTTTATTTGCTTTCTTCTTTGCTGGTTAGTCTTCACAGCAATTTGGCCTTTCTCTCCATGAATCTTCATTTCCTTACCTCCCCCAAAACTGCAAAGCCTGACTGACTATAAAGGTTAATCATTATCATGTAGACAGAAAACTACTAAAAATATGACAGAGACTCCATTACTTACTCCCCATTACCAGAGCAAATCTCAAAACCTGGCTTTTCCTCCCAAGTCCTCATTGGTGCTGTCTGGTTGTAGGCAGAGACAGATTTCTTCACTAGAAAGTGTTTCTCAGTTTGTGTTCCATGGATCACTCAGAGCAGGTAAATCCCACACAGGGCTCTATGACTGATGGTTCAGGACACAGCCTTGCTACCAGGGGGCTTTGATTTTCAGGAGGGAAGAAAAGCACTGGGGCTGTGTGTGAAGACACCTGAGAAACTGAACCCAAATGCTCTGATTGCAGGAATAATGTTGGGAAGAATGGGGAACAGTGGTGTCCCTTTGGTCAGCTTTTGCCAGTGTTTGAACGAATCTGTCATGAAGATAGTGGCAGTTGCTGTTTGGTAAGTAACTGTCTTTGCTAAGAAAATCAGTATTTTTAAAAAAGAGTAAGAATATTTCAACAGAAGAAAATGCACAGAAATGTCACACATTTATTTCCAGGGAAATAAATGAGGATGAATAACCCTTAGTTTTGCAGGGCCTTTGAGCATTTGAGGATGCACACACATCTGTCCCTGGTCTGTACCATCCTTTTGACAGGACACCCTCTATGTTAGTCCCAAATAGCAGCACATGGTATAGCTGGGTGGGGTGTGCTGTATGCCCTGAGGGCACTGCCAGCCCCTGGGCATGCCAAGAGGGTCACAGCCACCCAGGCCACACAAGGCACAAGCATGATGGGATGTTCTAGCTGGTACCTCCATGCCTTCCAGCACTGCTGCAGACCCAGCCAGACCTGCCAACACACCTGCCCAAAGATCACAGGAACAGCAGGTGGCTGCCAACAACAACAGCTATCAGCTTAGCACCTTCTCCCCACTTCAGGATGTCCCCCAGTGTGGCTCAGCCTGATGTGGGACAGGGAAGCAGCACTCAGCCCACACCCTCTCTTTGGCTATGTGGTCCAATCTGACCTGGGTCAGGGAATGATTGCTTGGGTGGATATGTCAAAGAAAGTAGTTTATTTCTGGAAAAATGAGGAAGTAGTGTCAAGTCCCTGGAGATAACACAGCTGCAAGTGGAAGATGGCTGGATGCTCCCAGATTTTTTCTTTAATTTAAAGTTTTTGGCATCTAAGACTTTGTACGCAGCTGCACACAGAAGCACAACAGTTTTTATAAAGCACCTTTCCAGAGTGGATTCAGAAACTACAATTCTTCTGCCTATTTATCTGCCCCAAATCAAACCCCAAGCAGTCCAAGAGCATGTCTAATCCATGTTGGTGTTTCTCCTCTGTTTTCCAAAGGCAACATAAATGTTTACTTAAGAGCTTCCAATGAAAATCCATGAACAGTTACACGAACACAAACACACAAGAGGAGCTCAGGATTCATTCCCCCTCTTCCCAGTAATTTACCTGCCTGAAGCTAAAAAGTCAGAGCTGCCTTTGGAACCAAAACATTTTGAAGTCGTTCCTGGCCAGTGCCATAATCTCAGCTGTGCTGATGGGGACCCCACAGACCAAACTGTCCAGCCCAGTGCTCTGGGCATCCTGCTCTGGTGTGGAGACAGAACAGCCAAACCCAGAGAGGGCAGGTACTGCACTGCCACTGGAAGGAGCTGCAGCTCTTACTGTGTGATGGAAGGGAGCTGTCTCCTAATAATGACTGTCTTTCTTTTGGCTCAGGTATTTTCCATTTGGAATTGTGTTCCTAATAGCTGGCAAAATCTTAGAAATGGATGACCCCTCGGCCATTGGGAAGAAGCTGGGTTTCTATGCCATCACGGTGGTGTGCGGCCTGGTGGTGCACGGGCTCTTCATCCTGCCAATGATGTACTTCTTCATCACCAAGAAGAATCCCATTGTCTTCATCAGAGGGATCCTTCAAGCCTTGCTCATTGCTCTGGCCACATCCTCCAGGTATTACAGAGTTTTTAGACAGATCCAATAAAATACTTGCTAGATCCTTACTACAGCTACCTCTTGGGAAGAGCACACTTATTGCTACAGTGGAGCAGACACATCTGTATATGAACAATGGTCTCTGTCCAATTCACTGGTATAAATTTAAAAAATGTGTGTCTCAACATTTGGAAGTTATGTGGGAGCCACTGCACAATAATATTGTTTTCCCTTAGTTTAAAAAATATTGGATAAAACATTTTTTTTCATCGAGGACTAGAAAGGAAATAAGTTATTTTTCCATATTAAAAAAATTGTGTTTCTACAAAGTTAATGTATACGAGGGACATACAGTTTGTTCAGACTTCATTTTTGGTATTAGTGGGGAACCTCCTATTTCAGTCATGTGGAAACATTTTATCCTTTCCACTCATGTTAGTCTTTGTCTCTTGGTACATTATACAGAAGACTGTGGTTGCAAGCTATTGTCCAGCACTGGGAAAGTATTTAACTGTTGTGCTCAAGGAATAGTATCTTTTACACCATTTTTAGAGAAGATGAGTTTTAACCATAGCTGAACAAAGGTGCAGTGAAAATGGAAACCAGCTTGTGAACAGGCTATGAAAGTGACTCCCAACACGGATAAAATGGTGCATGAGAAGTGCTTGAAAGGGCTGGAATTGCCTTGCATGGAGCAGATACAGAAATGACAATTAAAATAACATTTCTGTGTAGCCAATATGACAACACAGTTTCATGGCATCTGTGGCTAAAGTAATGTAGACGATTAAAAGAAAGGGGAAGAGGGAATTATGATTTCAGTACAGAAATAAGTACTGAATTTCCACTGTGACATTTTACAAGGTGTATTTATATATAATAGTTTGCTCCAAAATGACCTACAAAGAGCAGCATGCTGACAAACACACAGTCAAGAAAAATTACATGGTAGGTGGTGCTTAAACTCTAACTACACTTAAATAATTAAGGAAAGATTTTTTATTAGAACGTAAAAGTTTGTAGCTTGAGATATCACCACATCCCCAGATTCAAGTAAGATGAGAATTTTGCACTCAAAGATGTTAATGCTGGAAAAGGCTCATCAGGCTCACATTTGACACACTTGACTACCTTCCCTCCTTCTCTAGGAATTCTCTTTCTGAAAACTCTATTGCTGACAATTCCGATTTTTAATCTGTGCCGTTCCTTTCATTCTCTTTATTTTTTTCTAGAAGGAAAAAGCTTTTACTAAAAATCTGAGTATTTCTCATTTTAGAAAACAAACAAAAGTTGGGGTTTTTGTATGAGTATAGATGCCTTTAACAAGGGAGGTTTAATAAAGACTTACAAGATCAGCGTGTATTCCACCACTTCAAAATCATTACTTTTCCTGATTTTCCATATTATGCACCAGCATTGCATTTTGGTTTTATCACCAATTTAGGAGTCCTTTACTGATCTGGAAACTGATGAGAGAGAGGTTTCCATCTCTTCTGAGCCTCTGTAAGGGAAACTAATTCTTACTTGAGGTTTTTTTCAGCCCCATTTCCTTACCCATTACAAGCTGATGTGAGAGTGCCCTCTGACAGCACGTGCTCCCTTCAGCTGTGCAAGGAATAATTACTTCCAGGCCCAGAAAGGTGTATTTGGGAACAGAGCTCTGGCACCAGCTGGCAGCTCAGTCTGCACCAGAACCCCCAGCAGGACTCGTACCAGATTCAGTATCTTTACTGACAGAAGCTAAAGTACCACCAAATTTAAGGGGAGTCCTGAGGGAAGGCTCTGAACATATGGATTTGGGCCTTGGACATTTTTTGGATTTAGCTGTTTGTCCCTCCTTAAGAGTGTGTATATTTTGCAAATCCAACACAGGCCCAACATGGTTTCCAATGTTTTTCTGCTCAAATCACAGTGTCTTTTCTAGAGATAGCTGAACTTTTCACCTTCATTACACTGAAAGGAATGGATACTGCACATAACTGAGCTGTTGCCAAAAGAACATGCACAAATAACTGGGGCTGGACAGGAGAGCTGCCTCTCCTGACAGTCAACACATCTGTATTTGGTTAAATAAGGCTTGCCACAGGGGCATTATATAACACTTGTCATGTGGGTATTGGATTTTCAGATCATCCTAGAGGAGAACAAAGAGTTGATTTTAAGAATACTGATGTGTTTCTTGGAGATGTTTCTTGTTGGTTCAGGTCTACATCTAAAGATAGAAAGAAAACCACGAGACAGTGTGCTGATACTCATTGGAGATACTCTGCACCTGGGGAAGTTTGTTTTTAAAGCTAAAGATCAAACTACAAGAAGCAAAAACAATACCATTTACAAAGCCCAAGAATGTAACACAGGAGAACCTGAAAGCCACTAAGCAGCCATCTGCTGGCAAGGATTTTACTGCATTTCTACATTTTTTCTGCTCATTTCCTTTCAGTGAAAGGTTCTGCACCCCATTCTCAGTACCCTTATGCTTCTCCAGAAACCCCAACCACAGCAATATTTTGGTTTGCACCAGTACCAGTGCAGAGGCAGGGGCAGAAAAGCAGATATTTTTCCTTTGGTGCATCCTTTAGGACACAATGAATGTGCACAGCTCCTCCTTCCTGCACAGCACGTGCTGCCCCTGCCCACCCTGCTCTGGGGTGTCCAGGCTGCACATGTGGGGATTTCTGACTCTGCTTTCTTCCCCTCACACTGCCCCTGATCTTGTCACCTCTTACCACACTGAAAAAGCACAATTTGGCCAGCAGGAAAATTCTTCTTGATTTTAGCTTTCCTCATTCCAATGGCAAGAGGGAATTTGTTTTTCTAGGTCATCTTTCCATATCATTAATGAATTAAAGCAGCATCTTTTCAGTACATCCCATCAAAAGAAGCAATTTTCATCTTCTCTGAAGACAAATTACAAACCATGAGTTTTTCAAAGGTTTTGCTGCTTATGAAACACTAAGATCTTGGCTATTGCACCGTGTAAATTAAAGGCAGATTTAGAAAGGGGAGATGAGATCAGTTTGCTGATTTTTTGGAGCAAATATCAAAATGCATTTGAATGATAAGATAAACAGAGCAGGCTGAACAGCTGCTCCTCCACAGTGACTGGCTGTCTTTGTGCCTCTCACTAGTAAGAGCTTGGCCTGGGCCAGCATTAGCTTATGCTCAGTCTCTGCAGCTGCAGCATTTTGTCCCAAAACTAAGACTCTGAAAATGTATTTTTAATTGTTAGAGTTAATGCTGGCAGAAGATACCTCAGCTGGAACCTTTGAGTCAGTTTTTAAAGACTTAACAGATTAAGACCAGTGCTTTAGAGTATTATTTATTCTCTTAGTAAATATTAAATGTCAGGCTTTAATGTTACTGCTCCACTGTTTAACAGTAGATAAAAGTAGCTTTCAAGAAAACAAACTTCACCGAGTTTAACTAGAAAGACAAACTAGATAAATTACTTGATAATGTCTTGCATAATATTGAAATTATATGTTAATATTATTTCAAAACTACAGTAGGACCTTTATATTTTTTCCTTTTGCCTCCTGAGAGCCACCAAATCCAAAGCCTTAAATAAGACATATTTTTCTGGCGTGTGCCAGGTGATACAATATGAGTAAAAATGGAACTTCATTGGACAACCTCTTCCAGGATGTTCCACACAACTTTTGTCAGCTGTATTCAGGAAAAGTTCACTTCTCTGAAACAGGTGCTGAAAGGGTAACCAGGGATGTAAAGTAGCAATCTAAGTGGCAAGAGGTTAAAAAGACAATCCAGGCTGAGAGAGGACAAAGATGATTTTTAACATCCTGTGTTTCAACAGATACAGATTTTGCTGGTTGTGCCATTGGTATTGTGAGACTGTATTGCACAATATTTTTCACATCTCAACCAAACTGTAACATGTTAATCAGCTAAAATTTGCACGTTTGACAGCTCAGCTCTCTGCCCTCAGAATAGGTTTAATATTCTGGTATGTCAGAGTGTGGGCAAGGTGGCAAGGACTTGTAAGATTACCTTTTTGTCCTTACTTCCACCCAAAGAAATTAGACAGGGTTTTGTCACAGAAAATTCAAATGTCTGAGGGAAGACTGTCTTTACAAACAAGTAACTCCAAAACTGAGTAGCTGCAGGAAAGGGAGACAATGAGTTAAGTAACTTTTTCTTGGTGAAGCCTCTAGTCAGAACATCTAGAAGTGCTACTGAGTCTGCTCCTGGTTGCAGCTACTCCCAGGGCTTTCAGTTCTACACTCTTTGTGAGCCACAGCCTCCTCTTTTATGAACATTTTATGGTAAACAAGAGGCAGAGAATTTCAGTCATTCACAAATGACTGTATGAAAAATGACAGGCACACTCAAGAGAGGAACAACATCTCATGAGCAGATTGGGGATTATGGGGTTATGCTTTGCTGTGTTTGTTTTTCAAAGTAAATATTGATTAAACACTAGGACTGCCTGAATTTAAAAATTTAATATACCCCAATTACAGGAGGTAATCAGATTTCCATTGCTTTCTTGCCTTTCCAGCATATTTACATACTTAAGAGAAAGACTTTGGTCTGGATTTTCAGGCAGTGACTGCCAGCTTGTAGTAAATAATTCAGCAGTTAGACTTCATAAAGTTATAGAAAACAGAGCTATCATACTGAAAACATAGCCTTGTCTTTTTTCTTTTCTGTTTCCATGGCAGGAAGTTACTTTTCCTTTCCAAACACGGTTACTTTCCTCGAACAACAGCTTGCACAAATATGAAATGACAAATCCTTCTCAGGGAAACATTTTGCTTAGGCATTCCTGCAAACTTGGGGTTGTGATTTCAGAGTTTTTGGAATCCCTCCGTGCTTTTATAGGACATTTGCAACAAGTGAGAAAGAATTTGCAGATGCAATGTGTTATCTTCAATTGAGAAGAGCTAATGGTCATGATAAGATTTAGGTACTGGAGCCACATTGTGATGTCAGGGTCACTACACACAGTGACAGAGCAATGTGAACTGCCAAACCAGAGGGAAAACCCTGGATTTCCTGGCTCAGGGCATGTAAATCACAGGGCAACAGGACACTGAAGATCACAGTGTCACCATACTGTATTTCCCTTATTACCATCTTTTTAAAGAAGTAATTTTGGAATAATTTTGAAGAAGTTTGCTATATTACATCTATTTAAATAGTCTCAGATAATACACAGTGTATTAAAGTTGGTATAATAACAAGGAAAATATTTTGTGATTTGTGTATTTTTTTCAGTGCTGCTACTTATTTTCCATACAAACTAATGTGCCATAAAAAGTACCCCCTCACTCACTTGAATGCAGTCTCATAACTCATGACATCAGTGAATGAGACACCACATGGTAAAATGCAGAATGTTACCAAAAGGCTGATAAAATATACAAATAAATATATTTCAGTGTATTACTATTTAAAAATGTGTGCCTTTTTATTAAAAATAAGAAAATATATGACCATAGTGTTTTGTTAATTGTCTCAGTTAATGAAAACCAAAACCAGAAATATTTTTTAGGGGATCAAGCTCAATTTAAAATGAATACCTGTCAAATGTTCTTATACCCTTCCATTCTATTCCATACACATCTCATTTACATATGTACACATTATTCTATGACCTGCAGTTATGTGGTTGTTGTATGATCAGACAAAGGATGGGGGCAGATCTGTTCCAGGGAGAAAATGGGATTTTATATTTTTAAATACAGACGTTTTGTCTGCAACTTTATTTTCAGGCTGCTGTTGATAAGATCTTTGTCTAACCCTTTGCAGAAATAAAAAATTGTTTACATATGAGGTAGGCTTGGAAGGAAACGTTTTTAGAAACCATGAGTGTAAAACAGTTTTCAGTGATTTTAGTAATAAGCTGCACAGAATGTTGTTCCCTTTTTTTGCATTTGAGTGTACAACAGTGCCTCTGTGGGAATTCTGTCCATTTGCTTCTGAAACAGGGAAAGAGAGAAAAATATTTCTAAATTTGGGAGGCAAAATTAGCACCAACTGCAACATTTATACATGTAACTGTCTTTATCCTCCATCAAGCAAAGGAGTGAGTTACCTGGCAGGTGAGTCCCAGGCAGAGCAAGGAGCCAGAAGCTCGGATGGTTGTGTGAAACCTCCCCTGCCAGGACAAGGTTTGCTACAATCCCCAGAAACAAAAATAACCCAGTGTGTGTTCTGTGCTGTCGTGCAGCTCAGCCACTCTGCCTATCACTTTCAAGTGCTTGCTGGAGAACAACCACGTGGACAGGAGGATCGCGCGCTTCGTGCTGCCCGTGGGAGCCACCATCAACATGGACGGGACGGCGCTCTACGAGGCCGTGGCCGCCATCTTCATCGCCCAGGTCAACAACTACGAGCTGGACTTTGGGCAGATCATCACCATAAGGTACAAACCCAAGCTCCACATGCTGCATAGGATCATGGAATCAGCTGAGTTGGAAGGCACCCATCAGGGTCATCATTTTGTTGAGTCTGAGGCACTGCTCTTGTATGTAGCAAGAACAAATCTCATCTCTGCTGTTATCAAAGATGCATCCCTCATCAAAGGGTTGTTTCTGACTAACACAGAGATCAGGGACTGCTCAAACATAAATTGTAGTGGTCCTGTTCAATAGATGCTTGTGGACACCAGGAAATGTGCTTCTGTTTGAGGATAACTGTCCGATTTTTGCTTTTAGGCAACCCATTGATCACTTCTAGCATTGGAACATTTTATTATTATTGGTGTTTAGAACACTATTTTAAACTTCACAACTGTTTTCAACTTGAAGTCTGACTTGTGTCTCCAAGTGAAAGGAAAAGGTTAAAAGTTGCAAAATGGGAATTCTTGTATCAAGTAACAAGGAATAGTGTGCTCTGGGAAGCCCTGGCAGGATCAGGGGAAGAGGGAAGGAGGACAGATGCTACCATCAGGGCAGGTTTTCACGAAGATGTCAGGTCACTAAGATGTCTTTTTAATTGTCTTTCTGCTGCTTGTTAAAGCAGAAAGCTTCCTAAACAACCACACTCTCAGTTGGTAGAGAGTGTTAGAGCTGTGTACTCCATCCTTGAAAGGTCTGTAATGGAGCCAAAAGATTGGAAGATCCAGCTGAACAATTACTGCCAGAATAACTCCAGTGACTGCCAAAGAATTCCTCAGGGACTGAAACCTGCAGGTTTCCAGCAGGGAACAAATGATTATAAAAACATTCCTCATAGTCAGAGCTTTGTGCAATATATTTGAGATCTGCTTAACTATCCACCCACTGACCTCACCACTGCCCCATTTACACTGCTGGGCCTTGCCCATCTTCTGCTGGACCTGAAAACCTTCATGACAAGAAGAGGAGTGTTGAAACCAACCCCAGATGACAGCTGAGGTTTGCTAATGGACTTTTGGCAAGACCTGGTCGGACTACAAAAAGAAGAAATAAATTGTGCCCATATGAGCTCTTGCTTCAGGCTTACACTCTTTGAAAATTGCTGGAATGAGCTTGTTCTAAAATTTAGTCTTTTGTGATTTGGAATTTTGAGATTTTTTTTAGCATGTGATGCTAAAACATAGCATAGCATGAGCAGATATTACATACACTTTGAAGTAAAGACCAGTAATTTTAAAAATTAAGGAGAAGAAGGGTGACAGTAAATGTAAAGAATGTAAGTTCTAACTTTTTCTTAGCAGAATCTCCTTTTATCTCCTTTACCCCTCACATTAAGTGCTAGTACATAAGGACCAGACAGAAGTAAAACAGTAGACTGAAAATACAAGTAAAGACTGGTGAAAACCCAAGAAGAGAAGAAAAATAAAAATATGCACAAATGTTAATTATAGTTACCTCTTACTCAGCTACCAAGCTTCTGTCCCTATCTATGCTCCATTACCATGTTATTAGGATGCTACACAAGTTAACTTTTGCAAAATTTAATTTTAGGTCCTTCCTCTTCGCTATCACACCCACATGCTAATGTTTTGGGTTTTTTTAAACAAAAAGGGCTCTAGGTAGGAATACTGCTGCTGCTGTACTGGTACACTGTACAGCTGTAAGCAAGGGACTGGCTATCCCTGTGTTTCAGTTTCCATATGGGTGAATACACTTATCCTCATTTTCCATAGTAGGTTAATGAGACTTAACTGCTTGCCAAAAGCTCTGACATTCTTGACTGATGAATGCAGAGGATTATCAGTGTAAATGCTTTCTGTCATCCTTTTACTGTCAACGTTTGTTCTTTGTCTCTCTACTGGATGGCCTAGCTCTTGGAAGTCACTAATTTGGTGGAAATGAATACATCCAGTCACTTTTGCTCCTGGAAAAAGGAATTAAATCCCTCCCTTAAAAATAACATTATGAAAAAAATGTTAAACCTGCCAGGTCTACTCTTGACCTGGTCTCCCACTCATTTCTACTTGCCTGGCTGAAAAAATGGTATGAAGGTCAAGTAAAAACACTTTCCAGAAACTGAACATGTGCAGTCACATTCAGGCTTGCTGCACATTTAGATCCAAGTATGCAAAGCCACATGCTCTGCAAGGGCTTCACCCTGGCCCAGCCTCTTTACCCTTGGCCTAACCCCTGAGACGGATTGACAGTAAAGGCCCCAGCAGGGCCAGCCACGGATTTGCCCATGGTGACCCAGAGGTGTCTGCTGGGAGCTTGGCTGCCAAGGACAACAGCCTTGAGGGGGGCTGGCAGACTCCTGGCACACAGCTCTGGGTGGTGTCATCACCCAGGACAAGCTGGCAGAACTCAGCCCACAGCCTGGCTGGCCCCTCTGCTCTGCACCTTTGACATTGGCAGAGAACAGAACTGCCCCACCAGTGCCAAGGCTGCAAAGGCTGAGGGTGAGAATTTAGCCCTGGGCAGACAGTTTGGCCTGTCCTTGCTGTCTCACCTGGATTCTGTCCACAAAACACTGGCACTTCCATGCAGTGGATTGTGTAAGAGCATAGTTTAGAAACATGTGTGGTTTCTTCCAGAAAGTAAAGCGTATTCCTTTCTTTCCTTGTTGAAGTATCACAGCAACAGCTGCCAGCATAGGTGCTGCAGGCATCCCACAGGCTGGCCTGGTGACAATGGTCATTGTTCTCACCTCGGTGGGGCTCCCAACAGACGACATCACGCTGATTATTGCCGTCGACTGGGCGCTGTAAGTAACACAATTTTTATATATATATATATGGCAAAGTAAGTGATTTTGTAATTTGAAATGGTATTAATGTAGCCTTAGATTAAAAACTCTGCTGATGCAGACATTATATTGAAAAAGATAGATAAATGGGTGAGTCTAGATGAGCCTTGGAAATACTTGAAAATACGTCTTGCATGGAAAGGCTGAAGAAATTGAGTCCATTTAGTCTAAAACCAGAGCTGAAAAGGTCACCACAGCAGTTTTTTACATAGATAAGATTGTCCAGAAGAGGACGTTGATCAATCTTCACATTCACAGAGAGGGAGGATGAAGAAGTGGAGCAAAGCACCTACCTCAACTCAGATCCCAAAAGAACTTAAGGACTACTTTTATCTAGAAGGATAGTCAGGCAGTGGAAGTGGCTGCACCTAGCCAGGTTGGATGATGACCTTCAAGACAAGTTTGAAGGTTGAGCCAGACAAATGTGCTTAAGGGCAACTCTGGCACCTTTCCTTGGGCAAGGATAAGGGTCCAACATTCCTAGGAAACATGGTTTGCCTGCACTCTACTTGTCAGCCCACTGACATTTCAAGGCCATCATCACAGAGTAGTGAAGCACTCTGCAAGAGGCCTGAGCCACTGCTACAGCCACTGTAGCACTGGCACCCCTGGCACCCCTGTGCCCACAAGAGCCATGCGAGCACGGTGATGGTGTGGGCTGTGTATGGCTGCTGAAAGCCCAGTACAGTCAGCCTGAGCGCTGGCACCAGCAATGTCTTCCTTTCACCACAGATCCTGATGCAATTCTATGCTCTCTGATTTCAGTGCTAAAAAAGCAGCACCTGCTTGCAGCCCCCAATTTTGCAATTCTGCAGAGAGGACACTTTGCTGCATCCCCAGTCAGGGGGCATTTAACAGCACAACCAGGGGCTGAAACTTCACACAGTCAGGATGAAAGGGATTCGTGTCACCCATGAGAAGAGTCACTTTAAAAATTCATATGGAGTGGTTTATCTGAACTCTCAACTTTCATGTAAATGCTGATGAACCAATCAATTTTGAATAGTCTAGGAAGATGAATAATAAAATACTGGTCCCTAGCTCATTAGCATGTCAATTAACTGTGTAACTAGCATATGAATACACAAGGTAATATCCAAATTATTTTTATTTAAGCTATTTAAAATATATCTCCTTTAATATAGGCAGTTTCATTACATGAGTAAATTGTGTTACAAGTCCATTCTGTTATATATCCTATTTTATTCAACTTTTAGCCACTTTTTTTTTTGTACGAAGAATTGTGAGAAAAAATATTTTCTGTCCAGTGTAACAGAATATTATTATTATTAGCATTAACAGGAGTAATGAATCTTGTGTTGTATGAATATTTTAAGACTGTATTACAAAAGCCTTTTCCCTCTATATTGCTCCGTTTTTGCCCAGCTCTTGCAACATCAACATTTCATTGTTTTTCCAGTAAGCCTTCCAGTGTACATGGGAATTATTCTTCTTTTTGTCTTACACAACTTTTCAAAACAACAGAGAAAAGACTTTTCAGGCTATAGCTCCAGATGGTATTAAAAAGTGAGTAAGGAATAGACCCAATTTTCTGTCTTTTGCAGATGACCTTTCAAACAAAAAGCATATTTCTGTATTTCGGCACTTGGTGGTTTCAAGAGCCTGCAGATGCAAAGTGTCAACATGGTTGACACGATGAATATTTTCAGTATTAGTTTTGGAAGTACTGGAGTATGAAGAATGCTTAAAGAAGGCTGGTTAGATGATCTCACGAGACTGAAATACCCATTACAATGCACTGCAGGTATTACAACTCTCTTAGGTAGCCATAATGTGTATGTGACCTTCATACCTTTAGCTAGTGCTTAGAAACATAAAGAAGAAAACCAAAATGTTTCCTAGCTCATTTATCAAACACAAGGTAAAAGTTTTGCATCTTCAATAATATCAATTACAGCTCAAATACCATGGACACACACGTTTGCACTGAGAGAAATGCCACCAGCAGCAGGCTGGCCTCTCAGTGGAGAGATGCCAGTGGTGTGTGCTGTGATTCTCCTCAGGCATAGTGCAGACTGCTCCATACACTCAGAATGTGGAACACAACTGGGCAAACAATGTGCCAGGCAGTCCTTTTCTTGAGTTTCAGTGTGGAGCACTGTTTCCTTGGAAAAATCCTACCTTGAAGGGATGCTAATTACAGCTCGAAAGGGAGCTCAAACTCTTGAGCTCTGTTCATACAACTTCTTCTCTACCACAGCTGACTTGTTGCACAATCCAAAATTCACAACACTGAATATCTTTCCAAGAATCACTATTTGATAATCAAGAAGGAAAGAAGTCAGTGTGTAACAGGAACTTTTAACAGTATGTGCTGCAACTGCTTTTTTTCCCTGTTTAACATGTTCTTGTGGAAATTTTCTTCAAGACAAAACCCAAAATCGGAACAGCAGGAATTAAAAAAATGGATTGAGCAAACAAGTGTAGGACTGGGTCCTGGAGTCAACAACTGTGTCTAGGTGTAGGCTGTGGAATATTATTGCTAAAGTTACTCACAGTTGCACACACAATTTGGTAACTCCACACACAAATAAGCTTTCATGCAGGAATTTTCATGATAATTAAGCAGACAAATGCATAAACATTTATATGCACTGAGTACCAACCCAAAATATCTGAAAAAAAAAACGAGCACAGAGTTTCAATTCTTTTCTATATTAAGATACAGGATCAGAAATCTGGGCAATGTTGATATTGGACCGTCACTGACTTCAATAAGCCAAACATCTGGAGATTTCTGAACCTCCATTTTATAACCTACATTTATAAATTAAGTTACTAATACGACAGAGTTTTCAGATGTATATGTTTTTCTTGGAAAAGACATGATGTATTTCAGACCTAGAAGCTATATAATCGATCTGAAATCTCATCAATTTTAACTAATAGGTTCCAGGATGATTCAAGTGTAATGCTTGTCTTTGACAGACAGTTACTTTTGTCTATTTACAATCTGTATTTTAATAGATTTATTTTTTAGACAGTGGGTAAAAGGTGTAAACAGGGAAGAAATCCCATAAATGAATAAATGAAAAATAGTTAAACTATGTATACGCAAAATATTGTCAAGCATACAGATTTAAATTGGAAAAGGTAACTGAAAATGAAGAGTCTTTAAGAGGTACTGCATAGGCTGCATCAGAGCCAAAGTCACCACAGGTTTTACAGGAATTAACATTACTTAAATATGGTCAGTGGCTGCTTGGTTTGTGAGTGTAGCTACATAGCAATCTTCTGAATTATTTTGATTGTATCCTGCCCATTCTACCAATACAATAATCTTCTTAAGTAGCACGTTGGTTGCTAAGATTGGTACCACGATCACTAATATAAGGGACTGGTTGTGGTGGCTGATCTCTGCTTTTATTGAATTCTGACATTTGCAGCACCAGTCTCCAAATCAGGCCATGTTGCTGGACCTTAACATATAAACTGGGACAGAAATGCAGGTGTGATGTGCAGTTCCACCTTTTTAGTGCTGAATCAGCTTGCATCTCCAGGGGGACACAGCTACTCCACTCAGCTGTTACACAATCAAATGTATGGCAGCACAGCACACCAAGCTCAGAAAAGGCTGGAAAACCCAAATTACCTGTTCAATAACGACAGGATGCCTGATACCACACTTCTTAACATTTCTAAACATTTTAGCTCATAAACCCAGCAAAACTGGCCTTCAGGCATAATTACAGCTGATGGAGGCACAGGAATTTACCCAAAGAGTCAACACCTTACCATGATTGTTTCATTTTCCAGAGACAGGTTTAGAACAATGATCAATGTCCTGGGGGACGCGCTGGCTGCTGGGATCATGGCCCACATCTGCCGGAAGGAATTCATCAAGGATGGCAATGAGGTAACCACACTGTGAGCCAGGGTGTGCCAGGGTGTGCTGGACTATGGCAAAGAACCTGTGAGCTCCCCCATTTGGTTCCTCCAGTTTCTAGAAGATGTTTCAGAGAAAGGACAGAATTGGGCAATGGGGTGGAGGGATCTTTTTCCATGAGGTCATGTGAAAAGCCACTGGAGTTCAGAGCTTGCAAGGCAGCTGTGTCTGGCACACTGGGGATGGGAGCAGCAGAAGCAGCTGTGCTGTCCTGCAAATGCATGAGATACTGGGACTGTGAGTCCCACACTCAGCACCCAGGTCCTGACTGGCCAGTAATTTGTCCTGATAGAAGTGTGACCAGCATCAGAGCAGGATGACAGATGTCCTTGACCCCCTGTGTGGAGGGAGAAGTAAAGGTATCCATGAGTGTGTACACGTGTAATCAATAAGCTCACATCAAAAGCAACAACCCTGGCGTTGCAAGCCCCTGAGTCAGCATAATCTGAAGCCACCTTTGCAATAATTTTGTTTCCAGACTAGCACAAGCACATGACTCCATTCTAGACTTCATTTTCAGACATCTTCATGATTTCTGTATTTAATACAAGTCCTTCATTACAGCTTTGGTTTTTCCTCCTCTGTATCTTATTTCATACAGCACACATACATCTTTATTCTGCCCCTGCCTCCTTCCACTCCTATGCATTTTCTCCTTCCTCCTTGGCATGCATAATTCAGTCTTTCCTTGTAACAGGAACTCCTCATGTCCTTCCTCCAATCCTTGACAAAGGAGATTCCTAATTCCATGAGCCCATCAGATTTGGAGGTGCTAATCTCCAACCATTTTAGCTCATGGCAGAATCTCATTACCTTTCTTCAACTAAGACAGAATAGTAATGCAGGAACACTGCTTCATTGGGACTAATCTTCACAAGACAAATTTCATTTCTGTGCATCATCTGCAGTATTCCACACAAATAGGAAAGTTTTGTTTCTATCATTATTTCTCTCATTCTACAGTTTTGTGGTCAATCCCATTCCCATGCCTTCCTGCAACATTCATTTAAAATTTCTGCTCTTTCAAGTAACAGGCAGTGTCCTCTGAGGTAGTTAGCACCTGCAGTAACTACTGATGACAGGATTATGCCTGACTACAGGGGCTACACATGCAGCTACCTACAAACCCCCTAAAATACAACCTATGGGCAAGGTAGGTCACCCATTACAAAGCCAGAAGTGTAGGCTGAGCTCCTGCACAACACAGGCCTCCTGACATTTCACTGCTGTATTTAGAACTCAGTCAGAACTTAAGAATAGACATTGCAGTAATATGAAATCCCTCCTGAGGGATTATTTAGTCATCTGTGATGAGATTTTTCTTTGAATCATGCTCTGTAATGGTATTAAAATATACTGCTAGTCTGCCATACATTTTGGCTGCATAATTTGTGCAGTTAGTAATATATACCCAAAGGCCATATTTTCTCAGCTGCAAGCCCACCTCCTTACTTTGCCAGTATTTACGTCTTACTTTCCCCATCAGAATCTGGTTTGATTTAAAGAACACTTCAATATTTAACTTATGAATCAGTTAATAAAATCCCCTTTATTTCTTTCAAAACAGACACAACTGAAGAGGCAGGTGTTATTTTATTGGGCTAGAAGAAAGGCATAAGGCAACAACAAATGGTTTGTTGGTCTATTTACTTGCACCCAAGAGCAAGCACTGCCCAGAGCTCAGCACAGTGGCCATTGAGAGTCTGTACTTTTTGAAGTGAGCCCTGGAATTCTGGTCTCTATTTACCCTACTTGTATCAATTGACCTGTGGCAAGCAGCTGTTACCATGAGTGTAAGTTCAATTAGAGCTGTGACAAAATTTGCATTTTTACACAGACTCCCTCGCTTCATACAGATGGTGCAAAGATGCCTTAGTGTATATGAGAAACAGCTTCTGGAAGTCCATGGGGGCTCTAGATAATCCTGGTGAATGTAAAGCAGCCCACAGGCTTTCCAAGTAAAAATTCCCTTCCTGTTGTATACAGCAATCAGTGGCAGTATTCCAGATCTTAATGCTTTTCACATAGGTGCCATTGATCTGTGAAACTAAGCCTGTTAACATCCATCAGATTGTGGCTTACCAGAGAAATGGCTGTGTGAAGACCATGAATGAATCTCGTGGACCAGAAACAGTGAAAGGGTTGCAGCACCATATACCCATACAAGTGGAGCAAGAAGAAACTCCAGTGGAGAATCACACTAAGAAATCCAACAGTAAAGACCACTGCACTATTGAAATAAATGAACTAGAAACAAATGTGTGACTGCCACACTGCGAGGTATCTCACACCCCAGTGACCTGATACCCAATCTCTACCTCACGGCTGGAAGAAGGACTCTTTGCCTTGAACAGGAAAGCGTGGACTCACTGCCACCCTGCTTGTACTGGAGCTAGGAGACCAGCTGTGAACGTCAAGAGAGGCACACAGCTTGCAGGAGACACGGGCTTCTTTAGGTGGAAGATTTTACTACGGAAAAATTAACTAATGGACTGCTACTGTTTTATTCTGCACTCACTGACTTCAGTAGAGTATTTGACACTCCCTTGGCTTCCTTTTTTTAAAAAGCTTTTTTTATTTGACCCTTTTTGATTTTCTAACCAAAGCCTTTTTTTGTGAATCTCAGTAATTACCAACACTGTAGAACTTTTGCGACGTGAAAATGTTTCACCAAAACTGCTAAAAATACTAGTTTTGTCTAATATTCACTAAATATAGAGTTTGTGCTTAGTTTTAGAACAGCAGTAAGAAAATCACACTGATTTCCTGATCTCAAGGGGTTACATCTATTCCTAAACAGTGCAAGCACAGGGGAAGTGAAGTGTGCATTTGTGCAAGACAGGACATTAAGGTAATTGTGATGGGCAGCCTTCAGAGACAGGCAGTCAAGTGTGATACCTAACACAAAGATTTCCTAGGTCACTGCAGAGCACAGTTTGCCTTCCAAGTGCCAGATTTATTAACCTTTTTTTAACCTAACTCTTCAGTAAAGTCAGTTCTATTCACTTGCAGTGGCAGAGGCGATGTGAGCTCTAATCCATAAGCACTGGTGCTAATGTGTCCTCTCCTGTAACACATAGGTTGTTCTACTGTAAATATGTACAAACTCAAAGCTCAAGCTCATGAACTGTGTGCTGCATCCAAAGGGCAGACTGAACACAAACTGGGACCCGAGGATGCTGAGTTAAAATGGGGTTTTGTGAGGAGTTTGCTGTGGAAACTGCTCCACTATTTCTCATAATTCAGTTGACAGTTACTCCCTTTTCACTGTCTACTGAATCTTTCACTTACAGTAAAATCTGCCACATATGTTTCCAATGTTTGTGATAGAGAACATTTTTAATAAACCTGCCATTTAAAAACTGTCTGTGCACTTCTACTATTAGTGTCGTCTTATGTCTCTGCTAAAATAGAGAGTGGAAGTGAGGAGACCTTTTGAAAAGCTGGGATTTGATCCAGAGATTACATACCAGCTCATACCAATATACTTGACATATTATATTTAGCTGCTTGTGGCATAGCAGCTTGAGATACCATGTGCCTGGTATTCTAATATGCTCTTCTCATCTGCAGGGGAAAAATAACCCAGTCAAAAAGGACAATTTCTGCATTAACCAGTAGCAGAAGTGTTTCATGCATTAGCTCATTGCAGATTCAGTGTATCATTCATTCATGATTAGAGGTTTTCCTGGGATGTACACGTTCACCCCTTCTTTAAGGGCTCCTGTTCAGACTGTTTCTTATATCATGCACTGAATAGTTGCCTCAGAGCACTGTAGTATAGGTAGTTTAATGACCAAGCAGTAAAGACAGAAAGAACACACATAGGTCTTCCTTGTCTGTAGTTCCTCAGAAATTATGTATTATTTTGAAAATATATACAGCTGGCAACTGTTTTCTTGATTTGACTATAGAGTGAAAACAACAAACTCAGAACACAAAGAATAGGGAAGAACTGAAATGATTCAGAGCAGTTTGCTCCAGAACAAGTCCACTAAAGGACCAGTTCTGCAGAGTGTCATAAGAATGAGTGACTGGGGAGAGCTGAGGCTGGTCTGTGCCCCTCTGAATGAGCAGAAGCACTGACTGACAAACACAACATCTGATACTTTTCATCTCAGCAGCACTGGCAGCTCCTGGAGGTCCCCCTCATCCTCCCCAGCTGTCCATTCCTGCCTGCACTGCCTCCCCTCCTCTCCCAGCTGCACAGACCCAGTTATTTATGAGGCCAGACAAAGAACCAGATGAGAAGTATTCTTAATTCAAACCAGTTCACATATGTTTTTAGCACAGTCCCAACAGACAGTTGTGTCAACACAAGTGAAGGGGTGATGCAGGGACAAGATCAAGCAGCCGGGGATGGACTGGGCAGGGTCTCTGTGTGCCAACCGTGCCCCCAAAGAAAACACAACAGAAAGTTTCAACTTCACCCAGTCAATTACAGCTACATGAAATGCTGGTATGATCCTGCCAGTCATCTATCAGTTTACAAGCACCTTGCACAGATAAAAATCACTAAAAAAGAGGCCAAGATTTGGAACAAGTAGTTCTGGACTAAGTGGTTTTGGAGAGTCTGCCCACACACCATGCCACTGTGCCAAGCAGAAAGTGCTCCCAGCCTTCCACCTCCTTCCAGCCCAGCCACCTACAGCCTTTGGCTAACTACAAGTGCAAATCCTTTTGCCCCTTGCTTGAGACAGCTTACTGGGTGTGACACTTTTCGGTGCAGTCATGGCTCAAGAGGTCTAAGTCAACTCTGGTGCTTAAGCAGCTCCTAGAAGAAGAACTCAAATGAGATAAAGCATCAAACATCAGCAGTCAGTTGTGCTGCTCAAGTCCTGCACAACATTATGGGTTTTCAAAAATTGTGCCCATTATGTTCTCACATGTAGGTAATATGGGAACCTCATGTGTGAATGCATATTTTCATGGTATCAACAGGCTGGTTTAAAATCAGCTCTCTGCACTCAAACCCTAGTCAAAGAGTGTCCAGTTCTGCTTTGCAAATTGGAAATGCATTATGTTTTTAACATTTTACTGTTTGGATTTTTTTAAAACTTGGTGTTTACAGCAATCTGTGCCTCCCATTCAGCTGGGAGGAAGGCAATGGTCCTGTTTCTCACCTGACCTTTTCCATTTGTGGTATGAAATGCTCTGACTAGAGGCCTAAGGCACTTTGGGCCTTGGTTCTGGTGAACATGTGCTGCTTACTGTATTGTGCCCTTGACTGGAGCACCTGACTGCTGCTGCAGTCATTCTGTACTGAACACGACACCACTGTTAGTTGGGAGAGGTGAACACTGATGTTATGATAATTTCTGATCATTTCTATGGCAAGTTTTCCTCCATTTAGCTATTTTCTGTGTCTCGTGGTGTGTGCTGTCAAGCAGCTTGATGCACAGTGCAATTAGACTACAGTAGGTTCCATAAGATATTTGTATGCATGGGTCTGTTCACATTTTCCAGTTATAATCACACTTCCTTCCAACAAAAACAACAAAGCTGTTGATTATCAAGTTAGAGTGCAAGCTTTGTGTTGGCAAATATGTTTCTCCTACTTTCAGAGCATAAAAACAAACGTGACCTTTATAGTGTCAAAAAATTTATATTAAAAAATCAATCAATCGACCAGTCAGTCACTTACTACAACAGTTTGCATGGTATAATTTCAAGCATATGTGGAAAGAACATATTTCTTAACTGGCAACATTCAATCCTATTTTGAAGTTGCCTCCCCCTGCTAAACCGAAAGGGAATGTGGCCAATTAAAGTCTTCTAAAGGGACACTGGTGAAGACTCTTGAGGAGGGAAAGAAGATAATTAAGAAGGGTAGGGCACTGCATACAGCTATAGAAGAAAGAATTTGGGGAGTAACCCAAATCAGCACATATTTATCAGAGGCAGTGGTTTTATGCTTGTTAATTTGCAATTCCTTTGCTCTGATGATACTACTGAGAGGAAAGAAGCTGCTGCAGATTATTGTGGCATAAAACACCATTAAAGACACATTAAAACAGGTTCTTGAGGACTTTGCCAATGCCAAGTTGGAAGTTCTGAAATGTTGAATTGCTGTAATAAATCCTTGTGCAACAATTAGAACTGAAAGAGATACAAACAGAACACTTACACATCCCACTAATTCCCAAGAGCTTTTGGCTGCCAACCCTAATACAGAAGTTTATGGAATTAATACAGTTACTCATAAGCTCTGCTAGTCTTAATTGATTCTACTTAAATTATTTAATTGCACCTAAGTTTATTTGTGCCAGCTGAATACAAATCCTACCATACAAATAAGATTATCTAAAAAGTCAAAACTTTAAATTGGATTTGCCCACCCTGCTATTCCAGCACTTCTATAGCATTTAGAAAAGACAGGAACTCTGCAACACCCCCATTTGATGAGGTCTCACTTTCAATTCTACAACAAACATCAATTTTAGTCCCTTTTTAACAACAGCAAACTGATTTATAATACTTTCAAAGCAGACAGAAAGCTTCATCTTCAAGCCAGATGGATAGTTTTGGAAATGACCTCAGTCCTTTCTGTGCTTTCCATAAAAATGAGGTAACTATTAGCAGACGGTGGTTGATGTGTGCGAGCAAAATGTGTAACCTGGGAGATAAGTGAATGTGGAAAGCTGAGGCTGCCTTTGATCTGGCCCAACACTAAGCACCCCCGGTCTGTGCCTCTGCTGAGCACCCACGTGTGTTTTTTCAGCAAGAGCAGCTCTGTCAATGAGCAGTTGCTGGCTTTCCCAGCAGGCATTAAAGCCGACAGAGATCACAGCTCCCCACCTGAGGACTAAGTACAGGGAGGAGACAAAGTAATGAAGGTTTTTCTACAGGGATGCTACTGTTGCCCACCTTGCAGTGGGAGAGCACAGCAGCTTTTCACAGTAATAACTCTGGCTTTGCTGCATTTGGAAAAGAGGCCCCAGAATAGACAAATTTAATGAACCCATTCACTAACAGCTGAGCTGAAAATGAAACACATGTATTAAAATTCTCAGTTTAGCCTGTGATTTCACCTACAACTGAGATGAGAGACACTCAAAATTACATTCCTTACTAACTACTCTGGAGCATACTGATTGATATTCCCGGAATTTGTAAGAGGGTTTGTCCCACAAAACCCCAAATGGATTAGATCAATAGAACAGGAAGGGTGGTCACTACTTAAGGTCAGGTTCGTTATTCACTCAGACTTCCCAAGTGACCACAAGAATGCAGGGTTTGCTTCCCCTCTGTAAACAGAGAAAAGGTCCTTTCTAAACCAACAGGGTGATGCATGGTGAGGATAAATGAGCTGAAGACTGAGGCAGTTACATAACACAGTACAGGGGACTCATGATTACCTTGGATTAGCCACTTCTGTCTCTCTGGAAGCACTACTCCCAATAGTCACAAGAA